TTAAGAGTATATCTGCTGCTAAAAGGTCAGAAAAAATGAGATTCAAAGGCACTCTATACATTGGTAAGAAAATGTATTTCCAGCTTTAGGACAGTGAACATGTTCTGAATTCCAAACTCCACCACTTTCTGCTATCCAAGACAATGACAAATATATTATTTAATCCTGCAGTTTAAGAAAGGCAAGGCAAGTGCTGCCCACAGTAGGAATTGAAAAAATGCTGGTCTCAAGATATGAATGGATTGCAACTCCCAACGTTCCTTCCTGTTGACTAGGCTGGTTAGAACTGCTAGGAATTATAGTTCAGCTATCCCAAACAAAACAGGATCTGTGTCATTTGCTATTAACATCAACCTTTGATGAACACATAGATCTCACCAAGCAGATGGGAATCTAGAAGTAACACAGAAATTAGGCTTGATATAGTCCAACTTTATCTTAACATCAATGGAACATTAAATGTGTTCATTAGCAAAGTATCCCATATAGTTGCTTTACAAAGAAATGTTTCATTGGGCTGGAACATAGATTTAACAGAATTGAGAAGTGTTGTTTTTTGGACTGCAACTCCCATAATTTCCCAATCTGACTATACCACCTGAAGAATTCTGAGAGTTGTAGTCCAAATAAGTACATTTCCCAGACTCTGAATATCGGGTTGCCAAAACTCCCAAGGCCAGAACCAATCTCACACAGGTATCAAAGTTGGCAGATATTGATCAAGAATCATTTTCAAAAAGAGGCCAACAATATGTCCTCTTGGCTCGTATGGTATGATGTTTAAGTTGGATTTGATTTTGTTTTAGGCATGGCTGTATATTTTGCTCTGAGTGATTGACACTATCAATTTGTAATATTAGCAATCTAATTCCAATATCTCATTAATGAGAACTCTCTGATCAAACTGGAGTGGTTTTTGTCCACTCAGCTAAAATCAGATTTTGTCATAGTAGCTCAGCCTGGAGATGGGAATTGAAAAGTAAGGTTGCTCCACAGAGACTTCAGCAGCATTTCAACAATTGGACTTTTGTTCATGAGGCTGCATGCTCTAAATTCCTTTTGCTCCAGTTGGTGCCAGGCACCGGCTTGGACGCAGCCCAGCTTTCCTCCCACAGCAAAGAGCAACTGGTCCGATTTCTTTCATGCAGGGCAACTGTGGCGAGTGAAGAAAATTTATTGTAAGTTTTCAGTGCTTGTTGTTAACTCAGAAAAATCCATTATGGGCAAGTGTGCACATGATTCACTCATTCCCAATACTTTTATCAGAAAGACGTACAGCTCCCATAATTAAACACTGTGCCAAGTTCCTTACATCTGTGAAGTTTGATCAGACCTGCTAAAAAGTTAACCACATGCTCATCATGGTGTGGTTTGCTGACACCTTGTTTGTTATGATAGGCAAACCCACCTCTGCAAACAAGCCAGTTTGCAAACAAGCAATAAACCATAATTTGAATTTATGGTTTCTTGTTTAGTAAACGATCCACTTGGATGGAATATTTCAATCTGCAGAATTGCATTTCATTTTAGAATTCACACAAAAGTAGTCCTACATGGTAGGGCTTTTAATAAAACAACAACATGGAGTGTGAACAATTTAGTCAAGTTTCAGCCACTTGCAATGCACACTTGCTCTTTTTTTAAACAGACATAAACAACTTTAATAAATAACACTCCTTCCAAATTTATTGCTGTTTGGTATTGATGCATTTTCTTCATGTCGTGGCTATGTAATGTGCAGAGACATAAATGTTCTGAGCCATTTTTAAAGAAAAGATGAAGTCAGAAGCAGAAATTACATAATCTGACTTCGCTAGAATGGGGGAATTGGAATTTTTAATGGATTCAAGGATATAGACATGTCAGTGAACAGAACTTCTGACAATGAATTTACGATTTAGAAACTATTTGTACATCAGTCAACTCTATCTTTTCTGTTAAGTCTTTGCTAGCGGGAAGGATTTTTGTTTAGAAGATTGCACAATTGACAATTAGAATAGTTCTTGATTACGTTTTTGAACTGTGGTTTTAATGTTAATTTTTATAGTTTTAATGTAAATGTGTATTTTAATTGGTCATCTGTTTTATATGGCATTAAATTGTTGCCGCATGTAAGCTGCCCTGAGTGCCCCTTGGGATGAGAAGGGCAGGATATAAATATGATAATCAATCAATCAAACAAACGATTCATGTTGAACGGATGGTGAAAAACAGACTTTTGGTGTGCCATTGCACTAATGTATCTGCAATAAACAAAAACTTGAGCTGGGAAAGAGTGGGATTCTACTCTAGCTGATCCTACTGTTGCAGCCTGTGTCTGTTTATACTGTATCAGGCAAGGTAAAAATCTCCCAAAATCTCTTTAAAAAGTCCACGTGTGAACAGCAAGACAGAGAAAAGGGGAGATCAGAGAAGAATGCCTGATGAGCTACCACCATATGTTAAAAAGCACAGATCTAAGTCAGGCTACTTCAAAATAAGCTCCTCTGATATCACTGGAGCCTAGTTTAAGTGGATAAATGAATTTTATTGTTTTATTTATCTACCAAGAGGTCTCATTCCAATTTTTGTCCATTCCTGCCTTAATGCATGTTAGAAATAAAAACAACCTTATTCCCTCTTTATCTGTTATCATGAAGACATGGCAACCTTTATGTTTGAGAATCATGACATCAACAAAAAAGATCCTATAGTCCTGAAACTTCTATGTGTACATCTGTTAGCTCAATGTGCAATATCTTCACTTAGGATGAATGTCTGGCAAATGTCTGTGCTCAAGCATTAATATCAGCCACAATGTTTTTTAAATAGAATGCTGTTTTGCATTTTCAGCTATATATGCCTTCAAGAGTTGCGGCATGTATCATGTATAAATACCTACCAGAAAATGAAAGACAATGCACGCAGCTTCCTCAGATATCCTAATATAAATGAAAGACAAAGATTTGCTCCTTTGCCATGAATCTTTAAACAGAGGAGTATAACTTATTTTCTCAGGCAAGACCTTTAGGGCTTGCAGTTTATGTATGAGCATAGCTCAAGATGCCCCCCCCCCCCCCAAATAAGGCACAAATGTTTTGCCAACAGGTGCCAGCATACTGAATGTGCAAATGAAATTATTTTCTATCACAGCTTCACATTCTTTCTCTCAGGGAGAAAAAAAGATGGAACAATCCTGAACATATTGCTCATGTTCTTCCAGTGACACTGTCTCATCAACACCATGAGCCTCCTGATATCTACTATCTTTACTCATACAGTGGAGGCTATCATTGAATCATAGAGTTGGAAGAGACCTCATGCCAACCCCCTGCCAAGAAGCAGGAAAATCACATTCAAAGCACCCCGACACATGGCCATCCAGCCTCTGCTTAAAAGCCTCCAGAGGAGCCTCCGCCACATTCCAAAACACTGCTGAACAGCTCTCACTGTTAGAAAGTTCTTCCTAATGTTCAGGTGGACTCTTTCCTGTAGTTTGAAGCCATTGTTCCACGTCCTAATCTCCAGGGCAGAAGAAAACAAGCTTGCTCCCTCCTCCCTATAACTTCCCCTCACATATTTATACATGGCCATCGTATCTCCTCTTTGCCTTCTCTTCTCCAGGCTAAACATGTCCAGCTCTTTAAGCTGCTCCTCATAGGCCTTCTTCTCCAGACTCTTGATCATTTTAGTCACCCTCCTCTGGACACATTCCAGCTTATCAAAATTTCCCTTCAACTGCGGTGTTCAGAATTGGACACAGTATTCCAGGTGTGGTCTGACCAAGGCAGAATGGGGGGTGGGGTAGCAGGACTTCCCTGGATCTAGACACTATACTCCTATTTGTCCAGGCCAAAATCCCATTGGCTTTTTCAGCTGCTGCATGACATTGTTGGTTCATGTTTACCTTGTTATCCACAAGGACTCCAAGATCTTTTTCACACATACTGCTGTCGAGCCAGACGTTCCCCGATCTTTGCATTTCATTTTTTTCTGCCTAAGTGGAGTATCTTGAATTTGTCCCTGTTGAACTTAATTTTGTTAGTTTGGGCCCATTTCTCTAATCTGTTAAGATTGTCAAGATCGTAGCATAAACTGTGACTAGAATTGCTTCTGGTTTCTGCAAACTGTTTCAGTTTTACTCAGAAACAACTTCCCCCAAATTCAAGGGAAATAACTGAGGAAGTGAGCAATGGAATTATAGTTTTTGCTTCTTCTATTCCATATAGAAGGGACGTGGAAACAGACTCCTGCTTTTATCTTTCATTGTATAAAACTGAAAAGAGCCAAAAAAAGTCAATGTCAAATTCTATATAACTGATGTAGCAAAATAAAATCTGGATGTAAATTTCAGTATGTCAGTTTTCTGTCAGTGTTCAATATACACCAAGTAAGAGGGTTTTTGTGACAATATTGCACCTATGAAGAGTTAGCAATATATAACTCAAGATTGCAACAGTTTCTCCATTGTGGCGTCTGTGAAATTACACAGATATGATTTCCAAGAAAAACATAAATCTATGCCCACTGTTGCTTGATTGTTTATGAAGGAGATGTGACACGTGGTATACTGTTAGAGAAGTGAAACAGTTATATGCCTCTTAGACATTTATATGAAGCCTTGTGGGTTTAATTTATTCTGACGACCTGGCTTTTGTAATTGTATGATATTGTATGGTCTGTATTTTAATGTATTTTGTATTAATGTATTATAATGCTATTATGTTTACTATATTTGTGTTGAATTTTCTGCTGTTAGCCGGCCTGAGTCCCACTTCTGAGGTTGAGAAGACCGGGTTATAAAAGCTCTAAATAAATAAATAAATAATAAAAATAAATAATAAATAACCCACTTTCATATAAGAATATTATGCAGTTTTCAGTTCCCCTGTGAGCTCTGCCTACAAGCCATCCCAACATCTCCCACTAAGTGAAAGCTAAACTAAAATATCAATGTAAGCTGGAAGACTGGGAACTTATCTCCTGAAGGGAGAAATGAATTACAAATTTAGAGACACACATATATTTCAATCATTTAATTATATTTCTTAGTCCTTTGTATGAGCTCAGACATCTGCTATCCAAGTAAAGACGGCAGCTAGTTATAGAGGATTCCAAAATTCTTAGCTCATCTTGCCCTCTTTAGAAAAAAGAGTAGGCAGCCTGATGACGGATTCAAGGACTTTCAAGGTCTCTGGCCCATCTTCTTCAGAGTGCGGTTCAGCTGGAAGAGAGACAGACATCTAATTAGAAGAGTATTTGGGGGCGGGGGAGTGGAACACCCACATACAGCCACACACTTCGGTGCCACAGCCCCAATTATGCAGCCCTTAATCAAGTGCTGGCATATCCTGCCAAAATGCTGAGCTCAGTTATGTGGAAAAATTAAACATGACCCATGGACTCTCAACCGAGGTGGAGAGACCTGAGGTCAAATCACAGTCTCCAGCATTCAATGGTAATCTGTATATCTTGCAAGTTAACAAGGCTGTTTGAACAAAATGATCAGCGACAAGATTCCTTAAAGAGTTTTATCATTCAAGAGATTCTTAGCAGCCTTCTGTATATTTTTTAAAAACCCTATAAAGGCAGAAGAAAATTTTAAAACTGATATTCTCAAAGTTAGAATATCAGAATATCACCCTCTGGCAGCGCAGTGGGTTAAACCACTGAGCTGCTGAACTTGCTGACCAAAAGGTTGGCAGTTCAAATCCGGGGAGCAGAGTGAGCTCCTGCTGTTAGCCCCATCTTCTGCGAACCCAACAGTTCGAAAACCTGCAAATGTGAGTAGATCAATAGGAACCGCTTCTGCGGGAAGGTAATGGCGCTCCATGCAGTCATGCTGGCCACATGACCTTGGAGGTCTCTATGGACAACAGCAGCTCTTCGGCTTAGAAATGGAGATGAGCACCACCCCACAGAGTTGGATACGACTAGATTTCATGTCAGGGGAATCCTTTACCTTTACCAAAGTTAGGAAAAATGAAACCAGGCTGAGGGAGGCTGCACCTATGGCTCCAGGAATCTTTCCTTAAGCCCTTTTGCGCATTAGACCGCTTTTCACAAATTTATGTAGGACTATCTGCCCTAGTTTGAGGAATGATGTATTGGGTCAGGGTAGATCGCCCTATTTAAATTTCAGGCTGAAACCACCAATATATTTCTCCTATTCCTTCTGTACTCCCTGAATACAGCAAGCATTCAAAACTGTAACATTACTGATGTCTTATGAATCCTTCCTGCGTCCTTACTGTTAATGACAAAACAGTACTCCAGGTCTTTAAGCAGTTACTTTGTGTCCATAGCTAACCAGGAACAGTACAGAAGTGACTAAGTTTGCTGGTAAAGGAAGAATGGAGTATTTTATCTATGTAGGAACTGAGTGGGCTACTAGAGAAAGCAAGCCCATTTTTCTGTACCCAGTATATCCAGTATGCAAACTGGATATTGAATGTGGGAGCTGAACTCCAAAGTAGTTTTTATTTATGTTCTAGCTTGAGTACCCAACAATGCTCGCGTTATTTGAAAAGATCATTTTTAATTGTACAAAATGCGTAAGGTTATGGATGAACTACAACTCACATCATGCCAGGTTAACCACAAGAAACTCCATCAGTACTTAGAGTTTGTTATGTTGGGCAAGTTTGCTCTAGAGGCATCATTGGTGGGGTTCATCATGCTCTCTGGCTGCAGGGTAAACTACAACACTCACTATGGTGAATCAGTCTCCTCAAACCCCTCCAGCAGGTTGAGTTAGTCATGGGGGGTTCTGTGTGCCAAGTTTGGTTCAGATCCATCATCAGTGGAGGTCGCAGTTTCTCTGGTTGCGGTTGCACTACAACTCCCAGGAAGGTCAGTTCCCCTCAAACCCCTCCAGTAATCAAATGTTGGCATATCAGGTATGTGTGCCAAATTTGGTCCAGATTCATTGGTGTTTGGGTTCGCAGTGCTCTCCGAATGTAGGTGAACTACAATTCCCTCAAATCAAGGTGAATTTTCCCCAAAGAACTCCAGAATTTTTTGCTGGTTATGCGGGTTCTGTGTACCAAGTTTGGTCCAATTCCATCTTTGGTGAAGTTCAGATTGTTCTTAGATTGCAGGTGAACTATAAATTCCAGTACCTACAACACCTATAAATCATGGTGAACTCTCCCCAAACCTCTCCAGTATGTTCAGTTGCTGATTTATTGAAGTTGTATCCCACTTTTCTCCCAAGGTGAGATCCAAGGTGGCTTCCAGAAGTTTAAAATAGGATTTACCAACCCATTTAGTCACTTCCACTCATACTCCCATGATCACTGCTTCATAGTCATGCCACTCAAATAAGCTTTATAAAGAATGCTACAGCCATTTTCCATACAGAGCTTTTCCATTCTTTCAGATGGGCATATGGTGAGACAGTGCCCCCTGCAGAAGAACTGGAGCAAGCCCATCGGCAAAAAAGACAGGACTCCTTCACATACGAAAATGGCAGCAATGGGATATTTCTGCAAATGCAAGGCTACTGTTTTGAAATTACATCATCTGTTCTAAACAGTTCGCATATTTCCTTACAGAAAAATGTGTCCCCAAATCTGGCTGAAAACATGAAGAAAAAGCCAACCGCTCTGACTGCATTTCAACTGGTACCGTATATTGGAAAGAAATAAACTGTGATTGTGAAATGAATTATCTATACCTGCACCTATCTCTGCATATTTCCACATATTTGCCCAAACACATACACACATATATTGAATAAGTTTGTCCTGTTGTTCAGCCAGCAACTTACCTCCTCAAACTTATGGATCTGGCGGATGAAGAAATCCCCATAGCGGCGAGCAACTTTTGTATCTGCAATGTGGATCATATCCTGCCAAGAGAGAGTCGAAGGTAAGAGGCCAGGAGCGATTCACAGGGCAGTGTTGGGGATGAAATTCTCTCCAGCCTAGAATTAGGGCTAATTTTCATAATGGGTTGCTGTGAGTTTTCTGTACTGTATGGCCATGTTCCAGAAGCATTCTTTCTCGATGTTTTGTCCACATCTATGGCAGGAATCCTCAGAGGTTGTGAGGTCAGTTGGAAACTCGGCAAGTGGAGTTTATATATCTTAGGAATGTCCAGGGTGGGAGAAAGAACTTTTGTCTGCTTGAAGCAAGTAGGAATGTTGCAACTGGTCACCTTAATTAGGATTTAATGGCCTCATAGCTTCAAAGCCTGGTTGGTTGCTGCCCGGGGAATCCTTTGGAGCTGTTAGCTGGCCCTGATTTATTCTTTTCTGGAATTCCCCTGTTTTTTTAGTGTTGCTCTTTATTTACTGTCATTAAATGCTAATCAATAATAATAATAATAATAATAATAATAATAATAATAATACTTTATTTATATCCCACCACCATCTCCCCATGGGGACTCGGGGCAGCTTACATGAGGCCGAGCCCACCAACACATCAGTAAAAACAAAGCGGCAAGCAAATAAAACAGTACAATTAATATAACACAACATATAAGCAATAACACACAAAATGTAAAACCTTATGGCCGGGCCAGATGAAATAAATTAAATTTTTTAAAATAAACACTGGGCATGAACAGAGGTAGGATATATCTAAGCAGGAGGGTTTTAAAAGATAATGTAGGGAGACCAACCCAACAGATAGTTAAAGTGCTTGTGAGGACAACTGCAGAGAATTAATCAGAGCAGGGCATTTTTTCCTTTATTCAGGGAAGGCACACTGGAACAGCCATGTTTTCAGGCTCCTCCTAAAGACTGCCAATTTGGGGGATTGTCTGATATCCTTGGGGAGTGAGTTCAAGAGTCGGGGGGGCCACCAAGGTGGCAAATTGCAACATTCACACTTGCCTCAAGCATATATAAACCCCACTTGCCTTGTTTCCAAGACCTCACAACCTCTGAGGATGCCTGCCATAGATGTGGGTGAAACATCAGGAGAGAATGCTTCTAGAACATGGCCATACAGCCTGGAAAACTCACCGCAACCAGTGACTGCAGCCATGAAAACCTTCAACAACACAATGTTCATGTTTTCTTTATGCAAAAAATACCGGCAGAACAGTGTGTTTTAACCATCATCATCTGTACTTGAGGCATGATTCTGTTCATGAATCAAACTATCATGAGGTTATATTAAAAGGGAGGAGGAGGCACATATGCAGGCAGCCTGGGCACACCTGTCTCCAATCTGCATTGCAATTGCAATTAAGCAGACAAAATAGGAATTATGTTTAAGGTCTATATGTACACTTACACCATCCTTTAAACGCATGATGCATCTTCAGGTGGTTAATCATTTGGGAAAATGGGGCTCATGAGAATAGCTGTTTCTGCATCAGACTCCCAGAGAAGGAGAGACCAGAACTCTCAGGCAAGTCAGAAAAAATAGTATGATTTTCTTTCATTATTTAAGTACAGCATGACCCCAGCATCCCATTTTCTGAACTATGGAAGCAGGAACCATGGATTATAGCGAACTCTATTGAACTGAATGACTTTTGCCAAAAGTTACCATAAAATTGCTATGAATGAACTAGAAAATTCCTAAAAAGTCATCCTTCTTTCAGTGTGACTAGCCTAAACAGTATTAAGCTGCCCATAATGAGTACAGAGGAGTGAACTGACAGAGGGAACTAGACAGACCTTGTCAATGTAGAAGTCCACCTCGGAGGCCGACTGGAACTCGCCATCCAAGGCAGAGATGCCACTTGTCCAGACAAGGTTCTTCATCTTGTGTTTGAAGACCAGCAGTTGGATGCGGAACTCCTGCTCGGTGAGATCCAAGAAGCCAGCAAGCTTGGCCACGGGCATTGTGGTGTAGAGCTTGAGAAAGCTGCGGATGGTGGACAGCTGGGCTTGCTGCTGGACTTCACCAGCAAAGACCTTCAGCTGCTGCAGGAAAGGCTCTTTGTGGTAATTGGGGTGCATATTGTCATAGTTGGGGACCACAGGGGAAAGGAACTTGGGACATGCATAGCTGAATAGCTCCTCATACACCTGAGGGTCACCCTTTTGCATGCGTAGCATCTTGTCTCCATACTTCTCTCGTAGCTGCAGGTGAATGCTTTCGTCTATGCGCATAGGGTACATAGTGAGAGCAATGGCCAAAAGGGCATGCATCTGCTCATTCTGCTTGTTAATCTGCAACATACCAAGAGATCTCATTTAAGAACATGCAATTCAAAATACTTGGCTGACATATAAAAACAAATCCAGCATAGAAGTAAGCAGACCAAGCAACGGTATTTTCAACTTAATTTTTACTTGTGCTACAAGTTTACAGGTGTTTTTTATACGGAAAAACAACAGTGAAGCTCAGTCTGATTTTTCAGAATTAAAACCAAAAGCTAATATAAGCCATTCTAATCTATGGACGCAGACGGAGGCCTAGTTTTATATTTGTATAGTGCACTAATCTTATATTGATCACTGAAGTGACAACTGGTTCAATGCAACACTAGAAATGCTAATCAAGATTGCCTTAGAATAATAATAATAATAATAATAATAATAATAATAATAATAATACTTTATTTATGTACCATCCTATCTCCCCAAGAAGACTCAGGGCGGTTTCCAACATAGGGCAAAACATTCAATTGCCAAACGAAAAAACCATACTACAAAATTAAACATTATAAAATATAAACATAAACCCTATTAATTAATTAATTAATTAATTAAAAAGTTTTGTATACCGACCTTCTCACCTCTCTTGAGGGACTCAGACCGGTTTCCAACCATAATATCACATACAGTCAATAAAACATGATACTTCATATTGCAATAAAACATTAAAACAGCAATTACATTCAATAAATACATTGGTCAGTCGTCCCACTAAATTTGATGTTTATCATCCTCCATCCATATCTCCCGGTGTTGGCTCACTCATCGAATGCCTGTCTCCATAACCATGTCTTCACCTGCTTCCTGAATGTCAGGATAGAAGGGGCAGGTCTGATCTCCGGTGGGAGAGAGTTCCAGAGTCAAGGGGCCACCACTGAGAAGGCCCTGTCCCTCATCCCCACCAGACACGCTTGCGAGGCTGGTGGGACCGAGAGCAGGGCCTCTCCAGATGAGCTTAATAATCTTGATGGTTCATAGGGGAGGATAAGTTCGGAGAGGTAAACAGGGCCGGAGTCGTTTAGGGCTTTATAGGTTAACACCAGCACTTTGAATTGTGCTCGGAAACTAATTGGCAGCCAGTGGAGCTGGTGTAACAGCGGAGTGGTGTGCTCCTTGTACCCAGCACCTGTTAGTAGTCTGGCTGCCGAGCGTTGGACTAACTGCAGCTTCCGGGCAGTCTTCAGAGGCAACCCCACGTAGAGAGCGTTGCAGTAATCTAAACGGGACAGTCACAAAAAGTTTAAAAGCCAGTTTCAATTTTACTCCTTCAGATGGGATTCAAAATACCAATGGTCAATCAGCATGGCAGTTAAATAAGCCGCTGCCCTTGACAATCTATAAGAATGGGCAAACTTCGGCCCTCCTGCTGTTTTGGACTTCAGCTACCAGAAATCCCAGCCAGAAATACCGACTGTTAGAAATTGTGGGAGCTGAAGTCCGAAACACTTGGAAGGTCGAAGTTTGCCCATGCCTGATCTATAGACTACAAAATACAAAAAGTAATGCTATCCTATTGTGCAGTTTATCATAATATACATTTTGCTTTATATTAAATGCTTAATAGAAGTGTTTTTTTCTGAGTTTTAATTCCTTTGCTCCTCTCCACACCAATTTTGTATCCCAAGTGCCCCACAGACACAGCTCTTTATGTCCTTTGAGAAATGAACTTTTAAAAAAGCCCTGAAGTAAAACAGGGTCTAAGGCTCCTTCCACACAGCTGTATAAAATCCATATTGAACTGGGTTATATGGCAATGTGGACTCAGAGAATCCAGTTCAAAGCAGATATTGTGGACTATCTGCCTTGATATTCTGGGTTATATGGCTGTATGGAAAGGCAATTTGGTAAAGCTAGGGTTAAAAATGAAACAGCAGTATTCAATGGGAAAGGAATGCATTTTATGCCATTGCAATTTCTGCTACAATGCCATGTTGCTAATATACCTTAGTGAAAAAGTACACCAGGACATATGTTTGGTCAGATCAGAACTAAGAACCAGCACGAACTCTGAAATTGCATCATTGCACTGAAAAGCAGAGCAGCACCACTAGTATTACTGAGGTCAAATTAGCCAAAAACAATAACTGAAGACTGAATTCCAACAGATAATAACGAGCCAAGATGAAACAGGTTCATGGAATATGCAATCAGTTGCATTCTAGATGAATTGGATGTGGGTGCTTAATATCATTTAAGCTGTAGTTGAAACAGGCTTAAATGATATTAAATAGTACCCAGAATTAACCAGGGTACTATTTAATATCTGCATCTTTAACAATCTGTCTCCAATATTGGAAGGTAGAAGAAAAAAGGAGATGTATTTCTATGCAGGCTTGTATCACTACAAGTCCAGTTAAATATTTCTGTGTAGAGACACAGAAATAACTGGGCAATATGTTTCAAAGGAAGAACCAGCAGTGTCAGTAAAAGAGTTACAAAGGGAAGGGTTTGCAAAGACTATTGTTCACCCATTATGTAGGACAAAAATGATTCAATGCTTTGTACCATTTCGTATTTGTATGTTGTCCTCTGGAACATGCTCTTTGTTCTCTGAATATACAAGAGGATATTGGCAAAGACACGAATGGCATCTTGGTAGCGTCGCATCATAAGGTACGCAAAACCCACATAGTAATAGGTAGTGACCTGGCACTCTGGCACTCGTGAATACATACTCTGGGAAGAGAAGGAAAAAGATTGTGAGAAGTCTGGTTGCTTTTCAAATAATGATTGAGAACAGCCTTCCCCTCATATTGTCAAAGGATGCTGTCCCAGGTTTCTTCTACTACGAAGAGAAGATCACAAGACCAAAAACCTTTTCTGTGATCATCTGGAACAGAACACCTATGCATCTTTTACAATCAGGACTAGGCTTTCAAAACACCATTTTATTCTAACAAAGGCAGCCATGTTAAGTCTGTCACAGCAATAAAGCAGGGCCAGGCAACATGCAGTGCTTCACAATTTGCATTTTAAATTATATAGTAAGCTTTAACGAGTTTATTATGGCATCACAGAACTATTAAGTCTGGAAGATGAAAGAAAATTATGATGCTCTGATTTCATGTGGTTCACTTTAGACTCCTACAGCCCAAATGTAAAAAAGGCACAACTGGTTGTCTCAATGTGGCTTGGCTTGTTTCTATTCAGACAATTTTCATGCTATATTTGAAATAAGATGTTAAGGTTTCTGATTTATTTTTTAAAAAGAGTAAGGTGGGAGTGAGGAGAAAGTTATGAACGAGGGCTACATAAAAGCTATATAAGAATAGGTAGCATATAAAGCAGACAATTTGCATAACACTTTGGGGAAGAAATTAAGTCTTCTTCTAGGTTGATCTCCCCATAAATCAGGTATGGGTAAACCAGGCCCAGTGGCCAGATACAGCCCCTTGGGCTCTTTTCTTAGGCCCTCTTCTCTCTCACCAACCTATCCTTCCTACTCTCTTTCCTTCCTCCTTCCTTTCCTTCCACCCTTTCATCTTTTCTTCCTTCCCTTTCTCCCTCTCTCCTTTTCCCTCTCTCTTTCTCCGTCCTTCCTTCCCTTTTTTATTTCCTTCCTTTTCTTTTTCCTTCCTCCCTCCATTTCCTTCCACCCTTCCTTCTTTCCATCCTTCTCTTCCTTCTCTTTTTCTTTCCCCCTGTCCTCCTGGGGGATGTTTAGCAAGGAGAAGAGAAGGTAGAGAGGGAATATGAGAACCATGTTTTAAGATTTAAAAGGGTGTCCCATTGAGGAGGGGGAAAACTGACTTTTTGCTGCTCTAGAGACCAGGGCACAAGGGAGCAATAGTTTCAAAAGGCTGGAGAAAAGATTCAACTGGAAAGATTAGGAAGAACTTCCTGTCAGTAAGAGCTGTCAGAGAGGGGCATAGGCTTTAGAAATAACAGTCTGTGAAGAACTCTTTTTATACTGTTAAATACATCCAATAGAATTCTCAAATAAGCAAATTTCTGAACTACATTTCCGATTATGCATTAAACTGAAGATGAAATGACTGTCCACAATATCCGCTTTTCACACAACGTACTTTCATGGAGAACTCTTAAATGTGGGAACAAAGGATCTATATTTGAGATACATAATGACAAAGGAAGAACTATGTCAGGACATCATCAGCTATGCACTCCCTTTTGAAAATTGTAATACTAAACACTTAAAATAAAAATACCCTGGAACAGATAAACCTTACTTACAAAAATATTCCCATCTAACACTAGAGTAGGCATATTTTAATTGTGTAATGAAGTGGCATTGTGTTGTTATTGTATATTTTTTGTATGTTAACACATGTTGTGAACCGGTCCGAATCCCTCTTTGAAGGTGAGAGGGTCGGTATAAAAATCTCGAAATAAATAATAAATTACCTTCTTATTAAGTTCAATATTTTCCAGGACCTTGATGGCTTGATAATAATCACCCAGCAGTGAATGGAGACGCAGCAGACCCACAAGACTGAAATAGCCCAACATCTTATAGAGTGAATGGCGGCCATATTCTCCAGCCACGCTCTCAGGATCACCTAATGAGAGGAAAGAGAAAAGAATATGAAATGACCTCAGTGAACTCTACCAGGGAAATGGACACAAGAGTGCCATGTGTTATCTTGATCAGATTTCCCAAAGAGAATCTGCTATTGGATAATTGTTTAATTGGACTGCTACATTATGAACTGAAAGTATACTAATAGGAATTTTCCCAGAACTGAACATACTACTATTTTCACTACTGTACTGTAAGAGGACAATAAATTTTGAAGCAACTGCTATGCTATGGATTTGTGCTTGTGTTTTTGTACTTGTAGTCATGGAATATATTAATACTATGAGAATGAAAGACTCTGCTTGATCTTACTTTTTTGGACATGCAAGTTACATAGCAGCTTATTCTGTGTTTTAGAAAATTATAAATACTTTTTTTATATACTGTAGCATTGAATTTTTGCTGTTCTTATTTGTTGTGAACCGCTGTGAGTCGCCTTCGGGCTGAGAACAGCGGTATATAAGTAAAGTAAAAAATAATAAATAAATAGAACTTGGGGAGATAAGATTACTTCTCACTTACAAACTCCTGTCTTCTTTTTCTCCTTACCTCCACTAGTGTAAACCTCTAGCTGCCGATTGATGTTAGATTTGTCCACCAGGGAGTGCAGCACGTTGAGAACACCATGGACATTCCAGATTTTGGGATTTGAACGCAGAAAATTAATTTCTTCCTCAGACTTCTTTGCTGTTTTACAGCGGTACTGGCTAAAGGACTGGAACTGCACCACAAGAGAAGGAAGATAACAGAAAAAGTGGCTTGAAGGCACAGAACAATGTTTAATTGTTGTTGTTTTTAAAGAGGGGAACTGATAGGCACAATCTCAGCAATAACATTTTACCTGATAGATGAATTCATCAATAATATCCCAGAGCCATTGGTTGGGGAGTTCCAGAGGAGCTGGTCCATCTGCATCTAAAGAAGAATTTATAATTTTAGAACAATGATGGAAAACCAACATTATCTGCTTTGAACTGGAACTCAGACTGGAACATAAGAAAATGGTATTCTGCACAAAAGAAAAGAGATGATTTTTTTTAAAAAAATAGGTATTTAAATATGACAACATTAACAAAGTAGATGTCAGGAATAATAATAATAATAATAATAATAATAATAATAGCAATAATAACTTGATTCTTGTACCCCACCTCCATCTCCCCAAAGGGACTAGGAGTGGCTTACCCTAAAACAGAGCATAAAATAAACATACAATACAATACAATGCAACAAAGTAAAATATATAGCATATAAAAACACCAATTTAAAACTCAGAACAATACCCAATAACCTATGGTGACAACTACAATAAGATATGGCCAGACTGTAAAATGTTCCAATAATAAGAATGAAAGACCAACTAGGGGATCAAGAATATAACACTGGGTGGTCAAATTGAATAGATTTCATTCCTGGAATATTTTCACAACAGCAAAAATAATATATACACAATAAGACACTAGGAACTCACTTAGAATATAGTTAAAAAGACTGCAGTAATTGTAGTAAGATTCAAATCTCTGTTCCAAAGATGGACCACCCTGCAATAAAAAAGGAAGCATGAGGATGATAAAAATGCTTACACATTCAACTGCCTGGGTTTTAAAGGAATTAACATCTGACTTAAAGGTCACCCATAACCATCACATGCCCAGAGTTCAACTCAAGGACAAACTAAAGCTGATACTTACACTGACTTTTGCATAGATGTGTCTATAATACAGCTCCTTGTATAAAATAAGAAAAACAGCATCTACAAGAAATGAAAAAATATTATTACCATAATCATAATACATAATTTCTTACTGACCAGGCTAACCACTTGTCAATATCCCATCTGTTAAATGGGTTCTTCAATGTGGCTGACATACTTTACAGTGGAGTTGTGTGTGTGTGTGTGTGTGTGGGGGGGGACGGGGACGGAACAGACAGAGCTGGGAGAGCCTTAACTGGACCCATGAAACTGGGTATATTTTTCCCTGGAAAAACATGGCTAAAAAGAGAGTGTCCTACAGGACAACCTTGCATTTCAATACAAAACACGTCATTAAAGCAGCTACCTTCAGAATAATTAAAACACACTTGCTCCATACTGTAACAAAGCCATTTTGGCTCACCTAAGACACATGCCACAATAACACTTTCCTTAAGGCAAGCTGTATTTTTGTAAGCTTGCCAGAAAAGAAAAATAGAAAATACTCACCATTTCCAACCTGAGGGGCAATTGCCTCTGCTTCTGGCCATGGTGTGTTTTTAAAAAATCTTTCTGTCAACTTGGTCCAGCTAAATACAAAAAAAAGTTGAAATGACAGGTCAAAATATACTCAAAAATAGATAATAATCTAAAAACTTGTTCTGCTTTTTACCAGTTTTAAATCAAAACAATTAAACAGAACTCTTCAGAAGAAGGGGAAAAAAGCAAGCTTCCCCCCTCCCCCTCCAGAAAGTCTCAGGTTCTAACAGCTAGAGCTAGAATCGTAGAATCATAGAGTTGGAAGACACCTTGTGGGCTATCCAGTCCAACCCTCTGCCAAGAAGCAGGAAAATCACATTCAAAGCACCCCCGACTGATGGCCATCCAGGCTTTGTTTGAAAGCCTCCAAGGAAGGAGCCTCCACCTAGAAGAATGCTCACTGGAGATTTAGGTCCCTTCCACCCAGATGTATAAAATCCATATTGAACTGGATTATATGGCACTGTGGACTCAGATAATCCAATAAATAGCAGATATTGTGGATCATCAACCTTGATATTCTGGATTATATGGAGGAAGGGCCCTCGGACTCAATAGGCTGACCAGACACTTCGCTATCTAATCCTCAACTACTTCCAACTTAGGCCCCTTCCACACAGCCAAATAACCCAGAATATCAAGGTTGATGATCCACAATATCTGCTATTTACTGGATTATCTGAGTCCACACTGCCTGATAATCCAGTTCAATGTAGATACAGCTGTGTGGAAGGGGCCTAAGTTTAAATCATTGTGGATCTTAGGCTCACGCATTTTGCATCTCAAGAGTTAATATAACTGATTGAATCACAGCCCTTTATTTAACTCTCAGGAAAATAAATCCATACCTGTTTTCATAGATGTCCTGGATTTCATACACCTTTTGGTCAATGACATCACTAGATACACGACTGGCCTGCAGCTCATATACTTTCTGGTCAATCAGATCAGACACAGTTTTGTGGAAGTATTGGATGAAATTTTTTATTACTTCAGGAATAACTTGATAGGTTTGCTGTTCATATTGTCGTTCATAGGCTAGATCCTGTTTGGGATCTCCTGTGAGATATAACATTGATAAAGTCAAAAAATGTGAAGACATAAAGTAAAAACAGTGTGGATTCCAATCTTGGAGGACTTGTCAGTACCTTTTAGATATATTTCCCCCAAATTTTGATACATATTACTATGAATAAAGCTGAACCCCAAGGAGAATAAGCAATGGAAAAATGTAAATTGCTTATTTTAATTTGGGAGCATTATGTTTAAAAAAGCAAAGAGATCTCAGGTTAAATGAAAAATATAAGTAGCACCTGAGGCATGCTACGAATGCATAAACCAGCTCAGGAGTTAGTAGTTCAGGGGTTACTTTGTTTAATCAAAATTTCTGAGTTCTGGATTTCAAACACTTTTTTTGTATCTTCCTATTAACTACAAACAAAAAGAGGCAACACTGAAAGAAGCAAAACAACTGGTTTGAACTTTGTACAAAGTCACTACATTCAATACAAAGCCATTCTCTTTCTTTAGCCATGAACAAAGGGTTTCCAAAGTGGCCAAAACTACACACAAATTCTGGAGAGTGGCACCATTGTTTCCCAAACCCATCCATTAATGCCTTTGAATTATACATAGGAAACAGTAGAACTATTTTACTATGCTTGCCAGACTAGAAACTGGTGAGGGCTTCTGTACCTTTAATGTTTCCACTGAAGTGGGACTCTCAGGAGGTGCTGACTGTCTTGCAACCAGGAAACAAACACCTCCTGAAATTCCATAAGAACCCTTTCCAGTTTTCACTTTAACTACTCTATACAGGTTGAGCAATCAAAATACTTGGGGCCAGAAGTGTTTTGGGTTTTTTAATGGATTTTGGAATATCCGTGAATGAAGTGAATACAAGCATAATGTTCTGTGTGAAACCACATCTTATGCCATTTTGCAGATCCTAGTGCATTATTAATTCACAACTTGTGTTATGTATGAGATGCAAGGTAGGAGAGAGGCTAAAGGTATAAGATACCTATATTTGGCATACTGAACAAATCTCTGGGAAGCCTGCCAGCATCTATCTTGATATGAGGAGTGCCATATCTACCACTTCAAAGCCAGAAGGTGCATCTACACTATAGAATAAATGCAGTTTAACACCACTTTAATGGGGAGTTGCAGTTTGGTGAGGCACCAGAATCCCATGGCAGAAAATACCTTGTAAAACTACCACTCTCAGGACTCCATAGCATCAAGCCATGGCAGTTAAAGTGGTGGTAAACTACATCCAGCGGGAAGATAACGGCACTCCATGCAGTCATGCTGGCCACATGACCTTGGAGGTGTCTACAAACAATACTGGCTCTTCGGCTTAGAAATGGAGATGAACACCAACCCCCAGAGTCAGACACAGCTGGACTTAATGTCAGGGGAAAACCTTTACCTTTACTAAACTACATTAATTCTACAGTCTAGATGTATCCAGAAGCAGGTAACTAGTACCAAAACATTTAAAATTTTGAAGTATTTTGAGTTACTTTTATCCTTTGTACAAAACTATTTCTAGACAGGACTATTATTAAAAGGGGAAGCAAGAACTCACCGGTGTGTGTGTCATAGTCTCCTGGGTAGGTATAAGGATCATAGGCACCCTGGAAATCAAGAAAGGAAAGACATTCAGTCCACCTGTTGTGCATCTCCAAAATATGGTTTGACATCACTTCAACAGTTATGGCTCAATGCTCTGGATTGTCCATCTCAAGGGCACCTGCCTGCCTTCCTGGCCTCCGCAGAGCTTCTGGAGCCAAGCAGGCAGCAGCAGGCCAGGGAGGCAGGCCTTCCCTGCTGTACCTCAGGCCACCGCACTTCCGGGGTCCCTGGCCTCCACTGGACGTAAATATTTAATATTTATTATTAATATTTTCAAAAACCCACAAAACAGCGAGTCCGCTAGAAGGAAACTGTGAAGTGCTGGTTTTAGCCTATAAAGCCCTAAATGGTTCTGGCCCAACTTACCTGTCTGAACACATCTCTCCTTATGAACCTTCCAGGACTTTAAGATCATCTGGGGAGGCCCTGCTCTCAGTCCCGCCTTCGTCACAAGCACGGCTGGTGGGGACGAGAGACAGGGCATTCTCAGCGGTGGCCCCTTGGCTATGGAATGCCCTTCCTAAGGACATCAAATCAGGCCCCTCCTTTTTAGCAATTTGGAAGAAAACTATTGTATTTTATGGTATTGGTACCAACTGTAAACCGTCCCAAGTCGCCTGCGAGCTGAGAGAGACGGTATAGAAATGCAGTAAATAAATAAATAAATAAATAGCAAGGGAACACTGCACAGACAGTTCCCGAATTAGAAATTACCGACTTACATACACATATGTGTCCAAAGGAGGGCGACTAAAATGATCAAGGGTCTGGAGAACAAGCCCTATGAGGAGCGGCTTAGGGAACTGGGCATGTTTAGCCTGAAGAAGAGAAGGCTGAGAGGAGATATGATAGCCATGTATAAATATGTGAGAGGAAGCCACAGGGAGGAGGGAGCAAGCTTGTTTTCTGCTTCCCTGGAGACTAGGACGCGAAAACAATGGCTTCAAACTACAAGAGAGGAGATTCCATCTGAACATGAGGAAGAACTTCCTGACTGTGAGAGCCGTTCAGCAGTGGAACTCTCTGCCCCGGAGTGTGGTGGAGGCTCCTTCTTTGGAAGCTTTTAAACAGAGGCTGGATGGCCATTTGGCAGGGGTGATTTGAATGCAATATTCCTGCTTCTTGGCAGAGGGTTGGACTGGATGGCCCATGAGGTCTCTTCCAACTCTTTGATTCTATGATTCTATGAACTCATAGTTAAGGACAGGAGTGAGACAACAGGAAGTGAGGGGAAATGGAAGGGAAATGCGCTCCTGAAAGAGTTATCATGGGAAAAGGTGTCTCGACTGAAGCTTGATCTGGGCACCACAATTGAAGAGAGATATCGACAAGCTGGAATGTGTCTAGAGGAGGGTGACTAAAATGATCAAGGGTCTGGAGAACAAGCCCTATGAGGAGCGGCTTAAAGAGCTGGACATGTTTAGCATGAAGAAGAGAAGGCAGAGAGGACACATGATAGCCATGTATAAATATGTGAGAGGAAGTCACAGGGAGGAGGGAGCAAACTTGTTTTCTGCTTTCCTGGAGACTAGGACGCGGAACAATGGCTTCAAACTACAAGAAAGGAGATTCCATTTGAACATGAGGAAGAACTTCCTGACTGTGAGAGCCGTTCAGCAGTGGAACTCTCTGCCCCGGAGTGTCGACAAGCTCCTTCTTTGGAAGTTTTTAAATAGAGGCTGGATGGCCATCTGTCAGGGGTGATTTGAATGCAATATTCCTACTTCTTGGCAGGGGGTTGGACTGGATGGCCCATGAGGTCTCTTCCAATTCTATGATACTTGCATGACCGCATCTCTGTATATGAACCCACACGATCTCTTCATTCATCTGGAGAGGCCCTGCTCTCGATCCTACCAGCATCGCAGGTGCAACTGGTGGGGACGAGAGAGAGGGCCTTTTCGGTGGTGGCCCCTCGACTCTGGAACTCACTCCCTAAGGACATCAGACAGTCCCCAACCATGGCAGTTTTCAGGAGGAGCTTGAAGACGTGGTTGTTCCAGTGTGCCTTCCCGGAATAATGATCCCATAGCACTTTGTCCCTCCAAAGCACTTTTTGTATTTTTAGGTCTGCTCGTATGTCTTCCACAAACGCCACTATCACCTTTTCATCCATGCCTCAGCACTATTTCCAATTTTAATTTTTACATTTGGCCTTTCCAGTTTTAATTGTATGTTGTCTTATTGATAGTGTTATATGTTATCGTCTATGTTTTATTTTAATTGCTTGTATTGTTGTGATTATTGCTTGTATTGTTGTGTTTGGGCTCGGCCTCATGTAAGCCGCACCGAGTCCCTTGGGGAGATGGTAGCGGGGTACAAATAAAGTGTTATTATGTATTGTTGAAGGCTTTCATGGCTGGAATCACTAGGTTCTTGTGGGGGTTTTTTCGGGCTATAGGGCCATGTTCTAGAGGCATTTCTCCTGACGTTTCGCCTACATCTATGGCAAGCATCTTCAGAGGTAGTGACCTCTGAAGATGCTTGCCATAGATGCAGGTGAAACGTCAGAAGAAATGCCTCTAGAACATGGCCCTATAGCCCGAAAAAACCCACAAGAACCAAAGTGTTATTATTATTATTATTATTATCACTAATCCTTGTTTCCACAAGAAGCCAAATGTTTTCAAAAACCAATTATCATAGGGACAGAAAGTGAGCTGAGATATTCTGAACAGCAGCACAGACAGCAAAACAAGCACCACAAAGGTGTAAACCCTTCCATATGTTATCCAAAGAGATATATTTGGTTGGAGTTACACTTAAAGAATGTATTTGTTCCGGCTTACATACAAATTTAACCACAACCTACAGAGCACAATGCATTGTCGAAGGCTTTCATGGCTGGAATCACTAGGTTCTTGTAGGTTTTTTCGGGCTATAGGGCCATGTTCTAGAGGCATTTCTCCTGACGTTTCGCCTACCTCTGAGGATGCTTGCCATAGATGCAGGCGAAACGTCAGGAGAAATGCCTCTAGAACATGGCCCTATAGCCTGAAAAAACCTACAAGAACCTACAGAGCACATCTTGTTCGCAATGTGGAGACTGCCTGTAATAGGCCCCCCTCTTCCCCGCCCCCATCTCAGTCCCCTCCACATGGCTGCCTTCGTCGGGCCCTCCTGGGCTCTGCTCCCGCCCTCCCGCCGCCGAGAGAAGCTCCCAGGCCGCACCTCATCGTAATCTTCCGCCCCGTAAGACATGGCGGAGTTTTGAAGGAAAGCCTGGAAGCGCCGCGCGACGCCAAGCAGCCGGATGAAACGAGAACTCGGTGGGAAGGAAAGAATTCCGGTCTGTACTTTGTACGTCACTTCCGTTTCAAACCGGAAGCCGTTGGGGAAAACGCTCCGGCGTGCTGACAGAGTGAGGATTCAGTCAAGAGTGTGGTTGGCTCCGTCGCGCACGTGACTGAACCCCGGCGCTTTTTTTGGCCCTGGGCTCTTCCCGTCGTTGCTATGGTGACGCAAGTGCTCCCGCCTCCTCGGCCTGCGCGTTTCTAATCCTAGGCCTTGAGGAGAAGGAGTCGAAGAGGCGTCGGGGATGGAAGGCGGCAGCGCGGGAGAGGCCATCCCGGCTTCCGTCACCGCCGTAGCCGCCGCCACCACGGCAAACGTGTTCTCTCTGGCGGGGCTGGGCGCGGCCTTGCGGCCCGAGGCCTCGGAGCCCGCCTCGCTGGGCTTTATCCAGCTGCCCTGGCAGCACGGGCCGCGCCTGGGGGGGAAGGCGCTCAGCCGACGCCGCAGGGCCGCCAGGCTGCACCGCAAAGCGGGCCCCACCGGGAAGGAGAGCCACGGTGAGCTCAAGGCCACGGGGTCCTAGCATTTTGTAGTCCAGTCAGGAATCAGCACTAACGCTTGTGCCCCTGGGTTATATGTGGCATTTCCTAATTGCTCCTATCATAACAATACATGGAAAATTTACCAAACTGCAAAAACCTGCAGCACATTTTGCTATAGTTTTTCAATGAAAACTTTTTTTCAATGAAAAACTATTCAACATAGTTTTGTGGCAGCCACAAAAAAGAAGTTTCTGGAGTATGACTATCACAAAATTTATATATATATATATATGGTGTGTGTGCAGGCCCGTAGCCAGGATTTCGTTTCGGGGGGGGGAGCCAGGATTTTGATTTGGGAGGGCTGAGTCTGAGTGAAAGAGGGTCTACCTAGCAAACCTTTTGTATCATTACCCCAATACCCCCATGCATATGGGATATATTGAGTATGGTGATCAGATCATGATATGAATAAACATAACAGTTTAAATAAGGCACCAGTAAGGCCTTTTCGCGAACCACCATGAAAATTTCGGGGGGGGGGGCTGAAGCCCCCGAGCCCCCCCCCCCCCCCCCGGCTACATGCCTGTGTGTGTGTGTGTGTTATTAAGGTTTTCAGATAACAATAAAAGAGGAGGAACATATATTAGGTATGGGAAAGTAGGAAAATATAGAAGTAGGACCGAGAAGAAAATATTTTTATTAAGGTTTTCAGATAACAATAAAAGACGGGGAACATATATTAGGTATAGGAAAGTAGGAAAATATAGAAATAGGATCGAGAAGGAAAAAACCACTTATCACACAATTAAACAGGAAATTTATTTATTTGTTTCGRMCATTTCTACCCCGCCTTTCTCAACCCCCGAGGGGGGACTCAGGGCGGCTTACAAAAAGRACAATTCGATGCCAGCAATACAGATAATAAGATAAATATATATATCAGCKACAATTATAACACAATTAAAACAATCCAGTTCTACATCATAGCTAATAAAAAATCATATAAAACTGAGGAGCCMTCTAATCAAGGTGAAAGAAGAAAGTGCAAAACTGGGTTGCAGCTAAAAATATATATATTTTATTAAGGTTTTCAGATAACAATAAAAGAGAGGGAACATATATTAGGTATGGGAAAGRAGGAAAATATATAAATAGGATCGAGAYAAAAAATCACTTATCACACAATTAAACAGGAWATTTATTTATTTATTTTGCACATTTCTACCCCGCCCTTCTCAACCCCCGAGGGGGGACTCAGGGCGGCTCACAAAAGGCACAATTCGATGCCAGCAATACAGATAATAAGATAAAATATATATCAGCAACAATTATAACACAATTAAAACAATCCAGTTATACATCATAGATAATAAAAATCATATAACACTGAGGAGCCTTCTAATCAAGGTGAAAGAAGAAAGTGCAAAAGCTGGGTTGCAGCTAAACATTAAAAAAAAAACCCTAAGATTATGGCAACAAGACTGATTGACAACTGGAAAATAGAGGGAGAAAACGTGGAGGCAGTGACAGGCTTTGTATTTCTACGTGCAAAGATTACTGCAGATGCAGACTGTGGCCAGGAAATCAGGAGACGCTTACTTCTTGGGAGGAAAGCAATGACCAATCTTGATAAATAGTGAAGAGTAGAGACATCACACTGGCAATGAAGATCTGCATAGTAAAAATCTGCATAGTAAAATGCAGTTTGACACCACGTTAATTGTCATGGTGCTGTCCCGTGGAATCCTGGTGGCTGTCTTGGTTGTGAATTAGAAAAGGTGGCTTTGTAGTTCAAAATGTGTGTCAAATTCAGCTGAGCATGCCATTTGACACAACAATTATATGTTTTTATTCAGATGTGAGCAAATGCTTAGGCCAGTGTTCAGTGGAAATGTGACCATCTCTTGGTATTCTAATGCTGGAGAAATGGTAACTAAAGCCCTCTCCACACAACTGAATAAAATCCCACATTATCTGCTTTGAACTGGAATATATGACAGTGTGGACTTAGATAACACAGTTCAAAGCAGATATTGTGTAATTTTCTGCCTTGATTTTCTGGCTGTGTATAATGGCCCTAAAAGGGTAGAAAAGATGCTCCCTTTTACCGTATGGGGAGGCATGAGTTGGGACAACCTTTGACAGCAGAGGCCCCTTCCACACAGCTCTTTAAAATCCCACGTCTGCTTTGAACTGGGTTATATGGCAGTGAGGACTCAGATAACCCAGTTTAAAGCAGATAATGTGGATTATATGCCTTGATACTCTGGGTTATGTGTCTGCGTGGAAGGGCCCAGAGGTAGGCAAAGTGTGACCCTACAGATGTTGGTGAATTGCATCATCAATATTCCTTACTGCTAACTGCTGGATAGAGCTCGTGCAAGTTAATTCAACACTGAAGGGCTTCACTTTACCTGTCCTATTGTAGAGTTAAATGTTTCTTCTGAAGAAGTTCACAAGGAAGACTTCTTTCGTATGATGTTTTCACAATGTTTTACTGCATTTCCCCTCTGCCCCAGCTTATGCCTAATTATGAGTGATAATTGAATGGAAACTCAAAATATCTGAAGGACACTATTTAGGTTGGGGCACTTTCATTTTTAAAATGTATAATTGCAAAACAATGGGCCTGACAAAATGAGCCTGCTAAACAGCATAATAGCAAATAATCTAGCTTTTCTAGTTCCTTGATAATAACAGTGGCATGAAATATAAGAAATAGACTCTACAAAATAATTCAACAGACTTTTCAGTGGAATTTTGTTGTCACTTTCATCTTGTAAGTTAGAGGAGAGAACATAAAGAGAAAGCCTGCATGTGTTTCAGAATATTTTTTTATCCTAGATAAGACCTGACATTTTAAAAAAAGGCATGAAAGCCCCAATTGTTGGAGGGACCTAGGTCCCTGTGTAACTTCTTGGAGTTTTTGCTTGTTTTGACCAAATGGCTTCTGGTTAATAACACTATGTAAAATGATTTTTGTTCCTGGGTTATAAATGTCATTTCCTAATTGGTTCTATCATAAAAACATGGAAAAGGTATTATTAAACTGCAAAAAAGGACATCATACAGCACATTTTGCTATAGTTTTTCAATGAATATCTCACCGAGTCTCAACCAATTCAACATAGTTTGCAGTAGTCACAAAAACAAAGTTTCTGGATTATAATAATAACTACTTTCCAAGTAAGTACTGCACAATTAAACAGGAATAACACTTTTAACCCAGGAACAGAATTTTTTTCAACTATTACATAATGTAATAGATTTATCACGACTGATCTTTGCAGAACAAGTGGGAGGGAGAGAAGTCTAGTGACACATTTTGTTGTTAAATTGCTCTTATTGACTCATTCACATTTCATTAGGAAAACAAAAGCACTTCTCTGACTATCACCCACAAAGCCCTGAACAGTTTGGGATCCGCCTACCTTTATGACTGCATTTCCCCCTATGAACCTGCATGATCCCTTCGGTCATCTGGGAAGGCCCTCCTCTCGCTCCCACCTCCGTCGCAAGTACAACTTGTGGGGACAGGGAGAGGGCCTTCTCTGTGGTGGCCCCTTGACTTTGGAGAGGTTAGACAAGCACCCACCCTGGCAGCCTTCAGGAAGAACCTAAAAACCTGGCTGTTCTGGTGTGCCTTCGGGGAATGAACATCAGATCCCTGTACCTTGACCAACTCAGTAAAAAATGCCCTCTGACACACGGTATCTCACCCTTCAGTTGAAATTAATTCCCACTGGTTGTCCCATCCGAACCCCACCAGATGCATCACCCTACTTATCCCCCTCACCCAGCGTTTTAAAATCCTATCCGTTGTACTTGGCCCTGCTCATTCGGCTTAATGTCTTTGCTTTTCTTGTTGTACCCTGTGCTTATTTTATATTACTCTCCTTCTTCCTTTCCATATATTTTATTGTACTTTAATTTATGTATTATTTATGATTGTATGTTGTATTCGTTTTGCTTGTTGTAACTATTGGGCTCAGCCTCATGTTAGCTGCCTCGAGTCCCCTTGGGGAGGTGGAGGCGGGGTATAAATAAAGTTTATTATTATTGTTATTGTTATTATTATTCTTTTTTCCACAGCTCTGAAAAGGTTAAGAGAAGCTGCCAATTCTAATGATTTGGAAACAGGTAAGAATACATAATTGGAATGTACCATGTTTATTTCCATATGTTTTCCTTTATACTTTCTGGACCTTACGACTTCCTGGTAAAAAAAAAGTTCACAAAGTGATAGAGCCTTGTTTTCCAGTTAAAAATAGAGATAAGGTAAGCAATATTGAGTGAGTTAGATAATTGTATTTGTTCATTACATTTTGCAGATATTATTACTCATTATATTTGCAAGTAATGAAAGTTAACAAAGGTACAATTGTTGGCCTTCATTACCTGCAAAGTAACAGTAATATTCTATCTCCAGGGTCTAGTACTTGTGTTTCTCTTAAATTTAATAGGTAATTAATTACTTATCAATATTTGTTGCTGTAGAAGTCTTGTCTATTCACAGATTTTTAGTACCAAATGTCAGTCTTGGAAACATGCCTTGGAAACATGCCAGAATTTACTGCACCATGAGCTGTAGTCCATAGAACACTTCAACTCTATTAAATGCCGTTTTCTCATATTTCCTTTGGTGGTACAGTACAGCAGCTCTTGGAAGATGGGGCAGACCCCTGTGCAGCTGACGACAAAGGTCGAACGGCACTGCACTTTGGTTCCTGCAATGGAAATGATCTTATCGGTGAGCTCCTGCATAATGAGATGAAACATCCAACCCTCTTTTTTGGGGACAGAGCACTGAACGCTTTTATTCTTTTTTAAATTCTATGTTTTTCAAAAGTAATAAAGTCTCTTTCTCCATATTTAACTGAGGCAGTCCATTGCTCTTGATATGTTGCAAGAATCTGATCAAAAATGGTGATGGAGGAATGTAATGAACATTGACACTCTTTTGAAGAACACTTCCTAAAAATTTCATGAAGTTGGGTAGGATTATCAGGCCTCCATAATCATAGAACATTCAAGAAAGGACTTGTAGATTTTTGTGAGCTTAATGTCTGATCTGCAAAACATTTAGTTATGAATGGAGAATTGATGCCCAGCATCATAAATAATGATGGGCCATGGGCCATGGGCGTGGTGCTCCAACAGTACTTGGAGACTGACCCATTCCCCTATTTTAGTTTAAAGGATGTTTGGCCCCTTCTATACTGTCAAACAAAATCCAGATTATCTTTGAACTGAGGGCCCTTTCAGACAGGCCCTATATCCCAGGATCTGATCCCAAGTTTTCTTCTTTAAACTGGAGTATATAAATCCGCATTGCCAAATAATCTGGGGTAAACAGAAAAACTGGGATCAGATCCTGGGATATAGGGCCTGTCTGGAAGGGCTCTGGATTATATGGCAGTGTAGACTCACATAACCAAGTTCTAAGTAGATAATGTAGATTATCTGCTTTGATAATCTGGATTATATGGCAGTGTAGAAGGACCCTTTGAAAGCAGAAATGAAGAAATAATTCTGAGAACTACAAAAGCTTCTTTGTTCAAGTGCAACAATGGCAATGCTAGATCGCCCCATATGCAAACATAACAGTTTCGACAGGCACAAAGGAAGCATCTTCTCATAGGAAGTTCTAGTTCCTCTAAAGCAGTGGTCTTCAGACTTTGGTCCTCTATGTATTTTGGGCCCTCACATCCCAGAAGCCTAATCTAACTTGGCCAGCGATCAGGGATTTTGGGAGCCAAAGTCCAAAACATCTGTAGGACCAAAGATTGAAAACCACTGCTCTAAAGCAAGTTCCCTAATCATTTGCCATGTCAGCTGTAGCTGATGATAACTGGAGTCTCACAAAAACTGAAGAGCCATAGGCTCTCACCTGAGCTCTGAAGTATTTTGTGGAGGAGTGAAGTTTGTGGAGATACGCGGAAAGGTAGTTCAGCTGTATCCCTTGCATCAGCCATTTTATGTGACTGCCCACTGTAGAATTAGACCCCATCTACACTGGCCATTTAATGCTGTTTCAAACTGGTATTGAAGAAATTGTGCTTGCAGTGCAAATGATTAGATAGAAATCCTGGAACCAGTTAGAAGCCCGGATTGTGATTACACAAGTTACAAACCCTGATGTACATTAAGGGCTTTCTTCCCTGCATTTTTGTGGGAGTTCATTGTCTGGCCACCACAGTTTGAAACTAGCTTTGAACTTCATCAAGTAGTCAATGTAGATGGGGCCTTTGACTACCTACTGTAGAATAGCACAGTTATTTAAATGTCTTTTGTGCCAGCCAATTAAAAAGTTTAATCTTGTTTAAATAAAAAGGTCTTTGCCTTCTTGTGCAAAGAAATCAGAGAAGGACCCACCCTGATCTCTCTTAGGAGAGAGTTCCATATCCTAGGAGCAGCCACTAACATGGCACTCTCCTATATCCTCACCAGTGAATCTGAGAGTGGTAGGGCTGAGAGAAAGCACTCCCACTAAGATCTTGCACAAGAACATTTACTAGTGCTTGGAGTTTCTGTGCTCAGAATTATGGATAAACTTGAGTTGTGTTTGTGTTTTAGTGCAGTTGCTCTTGGACCATGGAGCTGATCCCAACCAGCGAGATACACTGGGGAACACACCCCTGCATTTGGGTGAGCATCAACCACTTGGAAGACAACAATCACCTTTTATTCTACTCTTGACTGTAGAGTTCCTTGCCTGTTTCTTTCCTTTCTATCTTTTCCCTCCTTCATGTCATAATAACAAACTTTGAGTTCAGGGGGAAAGCCAGGAATACACTGGGAAACCTTGAGTTGAGCATTGAGTTGAGAGAATTAGAAGTCTTTTAGCTGTGAGAAATTTGATTAATTTCTGTTTTGTTTAGCTGAAGGTAGTATTCTCCTGGTTTTAGGATGATAATCTACAAAGCATGAACTGTGGTCTTGGAGATCTAGGCTTAAATTCCACCACAGCCATGAATAAAATTCTCTCTTTTTGGCTCAGCTGCCAACTTCTGTATTGGAATAAGGCTGTCTTGAAAACCAAACCTTTGATTTGGAAAATTATTCTGACAATGTAATGTAGGAGGATGAGGTATGACGCTCGAAGCACATTGGCTTTCAATAGGTAATACTTGCCATTTATACAAGACACATGCCTTGTGTTCAAAACATTGTATATGCGTGACCTTTGGAATCCTGACTGCAGGGTTGTTATCCCCATTTTGTAGACAGAGATTGTTGAAATTGAGACATTATTGGTTTGTGGAAAAAGAGAGAAATTTGAAATCTGGATTTCTTAGTTTGCATTCTTCATTATTAGGGTGCCACGAAAAGATGCCACCCAAAGGCAGAGTTTATCCCCACTGTTTTATTATAGAGCACAACTTAGTTGTATTTTCCCTCCCCAGCTGCCTGCACGAACCATGTTCCTGTCATCACTACTTTGCTCCGGGGAGGTAATGCTTCCTCTTGTCAAACTGTACAGCTGCCTTTTCTCTTTTTATAGTCTTCTAGGGACCCGTCCTCTTTAAACCCACACCTTTCTTCCTCTGTATGCGCATCTTCCAGGAGCTCGAGTAGATGCCTTGGATCGAGCTGGAAGGACCCCTTTGCATTTGGCCAAGTCTAAGCTGAACATCTTGCAGGAGGGACTCTCGCAGAATCTGGAAGCAGTGCGTCTCGAAGTAAAGCAGGTAAGGGGAGAAAAACTTGCCTTCCTTGATCTGCCTTTTTATACTGGAAAAATATTTTGGATGATAACTCTCAGAATTCCCCAGCTACCATTGACTTCATGAATCCCGATCTACCTGTTCACATTTAGAGCATATTCCAAAGGGTGTTTTAAAAAAAGAAATCCTTGTTTTCTGTACTTTGAACATTGCATGAGTGAGAGTAATTATCTTTGTTTACTTGGGTATTCCTTATTTTTTAAAAAAGCCCATATGAAATCCATTGAATAGCCATAGTAATCTCCTTTAAAAAGCTGGTATGACCCAAAAGCTTATATGTTAGATTGGGAACTTGCATAGGCAGTCCATTAGTTGGAGCTTTTCCATTTTTGCCTGAAGATCTCAAGAGTGGTTGAATTTTGTGGTCACTTCCCTGGCTCAAAGACATGATAAAGCCCATTTTCTAATAGGCTTGGAAGAAAAATGCAGAAATTGAAGTGACCAGACGGCTCTTCTCATTGTGAACACAGGCCTCCCCGTGCCTGAAAGAGCCAGAGAATAGACAGATAGGTCCAAATAGCCAAACACATCCCTCTGGAGGCTTCTGAAGTGGTGAGTTAAGAATGGCAAATCATGGGCATAAGTGAACTGGAAGTATCATGAGATTGTAGCTGAGATCCCCGTCCATGCAAAACATGTGCATTATTACTGAGTGCTGTTTCTTCTCATTTTGCTTGTTATAGATAATAATAATTGTGAAATAACTCACACTTTTCTTTATTTTAAAAATAATCTAAACTGGCAGCTATAATCTTATATGATGAAGAATTTTACAAGTAAATTCTATCTGAAAAATATAACTCTAGCTTTCATCAACTATAGCTTCATCAGGGTTTGCTTATAGTCAAAAGGGAACAGATTTAGAGCCTTTATTTCCATCTTTACGCCCCACAAGCCCCCTCTCCCTCAAATCCTTTTGCACATGGTTTTAATGTTTTTTACTTATTCTAATATTTTTTCAGTGTCCTAGTTCTCTATCCGCAATCTAAAAGATACCAAAATGTGAAATTCAGTCACAGTGTATATTGCAAACTTCACATTCTGAGAGAATTAACATTAACCATATGGATATAACAGAGATTGGTGACAAAGTCTCTGCATCTCTGCACATTGAACATTTTGGTGAGGGTTGGGTTTTTTATTTTATTTTATTTGTAAATGGGATCTAAAACTGAGTTAGGTTTCATGCAGATAGGCTTTAAAAAGACTGAGGATTGAGCCTTTAAAGTTTCCCATGTAGCCAATAGGCCAAACCTTTGACAAATGAAAACGGCAGCACTCATCCTGATTTGAGTAACTTCCTGGTAAACAGAATGAGAGGTTAGCCGAAAATGGACCCCGAAATATCATGCCTTTTGGCCAAATTGCACAAGCCTAGTACCTACCTCTATTTAGTAACACATTTAGTGCCTATTTGTTCTGATATTTTATTATAGATGTTCATCTCTATTTTTCTCAAGACACTCTTCCAAAACCTTTTTTTAGATCTACAGTTTTGCTTTAACTTTGGCTGTCCAGTTGGAGGTCTAGAGCTTTTCCTTATAGCAGACCATCTCTCTCATCCTGTTTCCTTCAGATCATTCAGATGTTGCGGGAATACCTCAACCGCCTTGGGCGCCATGAACAGAGGGAACAGCTGGATGACCTTTGTACAAGGCTACAGATGACCAGTACAAAAGAGCAGGTGAGTGACCACAGAGGACTTTGTATCCTTGATAGACAGAGCAATTCTCACCGGGAAAGTGGGGCGGAGCTCTGTGTAATCTCCTGCATCCAAAAGTTTGTCATGATCTTCTTGCTGTGAACTATGTTTGGGATGTGCAGACTTTCTTGCTGCGTTTTGGTCTGCAGTGTTTTAACATTTTCTTCTCATTGAAACCTTTGCCAGCTGCAAAGCAGTTGCAGTTCCAGAATCTTTTGGAATTGCTCATTCCTGGTTTAGCTCTAACAGTGGGAATGATGCATCAGCACACTGGCACACATCTGATTATGGCAGTGTGGAAATTGAATCTGCAGCCTTATTTCCTCCAGTAAAATAAATCCATAATACTAAATCTCATCCTTGGCATAATATGGCATGGCCATAATTCTAGGGGGCTGGTTGTTTGTGTTGCACCCACCGTCTTCAGCCTGTACAGCTGGAATCCATCCTTAGTTTTTCATAGGGTTTCTGTGCTCTTTCAGATCTACTTTGGCTTGCAACCATGTTGTGTTATTTCTTTGGCAGGTGGATGAGGTTACTGATCTCCTTGCCAGTTTTACCTCACTCAGTTTGCAGAAGCAGAAGATAGAGAAGAGGTAATGTTTTTCCCCGAATGGTTCTCTCAATCGAAAGGAAAATCTGCAGGGTGATGAAGATCAGCCGAGGCTCATCTGCAAGACTGCAGGCCTGCTGTTGCTGCCTCTGCAAGTGTGGTTTTCCTCCAAGGACTATACCAAAATGCCTGAGACTGTTGGGCCACTATCACTGCCTCATACTTTTTGAGGGGCAAGAGAGGAGAGGATCTGGCCTTGACCACAATGACTTCCTTTTCCTTGTTTGTTTTTGCTATGCATCTGGACTTCTCTTACTATTGTCTACAGGGGAGCAGCTGGATTTTAAGAACAGCATCATGTCTCACATGTGGCCATTCCGATGTGAGCACATGGGGAAAGCGATACCTGTAGGGAACATTGCTACACGTGGTTTATCTGCCTTTAATCCCCCAATGTTTAAGCACAATAATTGTTGAGTATTTTTAGAATCTCTATACTCCTGAATTTTTAACAAGGGGTATATTTTAACCTGAGAACGGTTTGAAGGGTCCAGCTACCCAGACTAGCTCTACCCATGCTATGATACAAAGGAGTGCATTTGTCGCTATCCTTTCCTTGCACCTCAGCATCAAAAGTTTTGAATTTCTTCACTTCTGCATTCCATACTCAAATTAAACATGAGCCAACAATGTGATGCAGGAGCTAAAAAAGCCAATGGGATTTTGGCCTGCATAAATAGGAGTATAGTGTCTAGATCCAGGGAAGCCATGCTACCCCTCTGTTCTGCCTTGGTCAGACCACATCTGGAATACTGTGTCCAGTTCTGGTCACCACAATTTAAGGTTGGTGTTGACAAGCTGGAATGTGTCCAGAGGAGAGTGACTAAAATAATCAAGGATCTGGAAAACAAGCACTATGACAAGTGGCTTAAAGAGCTGGGCATGTTTACCCTGCAGAAGAGAAGGCTGAGAGGAGACATGATGACCATGTATAAATATGAGGGGAAGTCATAGGGAGGAGGGAACAAGCTTGTTTTCTGCTGGCCTGGAGACTAGGACATGGAACAGTGGCTTCAAACTACAGGAAAGGAGATTCCACCTGAACATGAGGAAGAACTTCCTAACTGTGAGAGCTGTTCAGCAATTGAACTTTCTACCCCAGAATGTGGTGGAGGCTCCATTTTTGGAGGCTTTTAAAAAGATATTGGGTGGCCATCTGTCAGGAGTGCTTTGAAGGCATATTTCCTTCTTCTTGGCAGGGGGTTGGACTGGATGGCCCACAAGGTCTCCTCCAACTCTATGATTTTATAATCTGTTCACTTCCACTGCGTTTTGTCTTGTGTGTGTGTGTGTCAGGAAAGGACTCCCTAAAGCCTCTCTTGCTGCTCATTCAAAGTGCTGGGAAAGAAAGTTAAAGATCTGACTATATACTGCCTAGAAGAAAGTAGCTACTTGATTATAAAGGGCCCAGTGAGCATCTTGTCAGGGGATACTGGACCCAATCCACTACTTGTAGCACACAGTCTCCCTGCCAGTTATTATAATGTATCTACTCCAGAAAACAGATGGAAGCAAATATAACTTGTTATTGCTCGGGTTTGTTTTATATCCCACTTTCCTACCTCCAAGGACCAGAAAGAGCTCCAGAGAAGGAGAGTCCACCACTTTTTTAAGTGGCCCATTCAACTATACCTCATACTACCATGATTGCTGGCTTTGATTTGAGAGTGGGCCTTGGATCTGTGTCTCATTTGTCATGGAACCTTATTTATGTCACAGATAGAAAGAAAACTTTCCACCTTATTTCAGATGCTAAAATATTTCATGGCTTTTGCACACTGTGAGAGATCAAGGACTCCTCTTATGCAAAGGTGTGGATGCCAGATACATGCTGACCCATTACACTGAAAGCCTACAACGATCTCCTTACCTCGTGTTTTGACTTCAGCCAACTCACAATCATGAAAAGAATCGGGTTGGCATGTATTTATCAAATGCTTTCTTGGGATTGTATCATTGTATCATTGAAATATCAAGGTTATTTTGGGACCTTGAGACTAGTAAGTTATTGTGACTTCTTTAAAAGTATGCTGTTTTTGTGACAAAGAGTATAACTGGATTCATATCATGGATTTGACAAGCCAAGTGGCTTTGATAGAGGAAGATTTCAAATACTCATTGAAAGGAAGTTTGCGACCAAGTTGGCTGATCTTTGCCTTAGCTGTCATTGTGAATGCCAAGAACTTTATTCCAGCCTGCAAGCTGGGCAGGAGGCAACATTCACTTTGCAATTGTAAATTTCAATAAAATGCTCTTTGCTTCCTGTGAATTTGGACATTTCTGCTGCCTACCATTTATTTGCCATTTCTCTCCCTAGCTCTTTCCCCCTTCTTTTTATCTTATCTCTGCCTGGAGCCCCACTCGGGAGCTTCTTTACTTGTACAAACAGCAATGAAATGAAAAATGACAGCATCTTGTTGCCTTGAGCTCAAAGCCAAGGCAGTGTATAGACCTGACGTAATTTGCTCCTCTCTCTTATATCTATGGCTCAAAATCTCATTGTTGCAAACTATTGACTCTTAAATGACTTTCGGAAGACTCTATAAAATCAATGTCGCTCTGCCACCCCCTGCTATTTTGCTGGCAGCAGCTTACGTGTGCTGTACCTGGGAAACAGCGAGCCTGTCTAATTCAATCAGGCTTTTGTATTGAGCTCCTTTGTGTTCAATAGGTGAAAACATTAATCATTGCTGTTAGGGGAAAATAGCAGAGTTGGAGGTGGGGGATTGTCCTGATATTAAAATACTTCTCCAGTTTGTAAAAAAAGCGGGAAAAGAAAACATGTGAAGGGCTCTTGTGGTGGTCTGAAGAAATCAGTACAAGATGTATCACACACGAAACCCTCAACCACATTTCAGAAGCTCTCGGGATTTTTTAATGGGATGCTGAAGTATGGCTGAATAAAGCAATAATAGTGATTCATTGTTTCTTAGGATATCTGCATTCACTTGAAAATTCAAAGTGAAACAAGTATTAGTGAGTAATCCACCCAGAGATTCTTCTGCTCAATTTCATTTTGAAGGTGTCAGATCAGTACAAAATACTGAAATAATTGGCTTGACCCATTCACAGTGCTGAAATGTTGGGTGGATTACTTTTTCCTCTGACTTGTAAGCAGCCTCTTCTGTGAATGTGACTCTTTTTTATTTATTTTTCCTCACTCCTTTTTAATTATTTCAAAAAAAAAAGAATACACCAACCATACACATTGCAGAAATATACACATACACAAACACACATATGTAGACAACCTGCCACCCACAGTACAGTTACCCCTCAACCCACCCCCAGTGCTACCCACCACCTTGGCTTCCGTCACTGATCCCCGCAGGATTTATGCACATCTTATTTAACCCTCTATACTTCTAATTCAATAAATTCCTCTTGTTTTTATTTCTTTAGCTCTCCCGTCAAGTATGCTAAGGCCAGCTTCCAGTTTCTTTCAAATATTTCATGATTTTCATATTTCAAATTGCTAGAAATGATAGCCATCTGTGTATAATCCCACAGTTTATCCTTCCAATCTTTGATGCTTAATATTTTCTCCCCTTTCCAATTTTTGGCAATTGTAATGCGTGCAGCCCTAAAGCTGTACAAACAATTTTCTCTCTCTGGTTGTTCTAATCTATCTCTGAATATCCCTAATAGGCACATCCCTTGGTTTTTTTTTACTTTGTTGTGAATCATTTTATTTGTTTCCTTTATTATTCTTTTCCAATAGACCTGCACCAGTTCACAAGACCACCATACATGAAAAAAAGTCCCTTTCTTTGTTTTGTACCTCCAACAGGAACCTGTTTGTGAATTGTCCATTTTGGCTAGGAGGGCTGGGGTTATGTAGCATCTGTAGAACATTTTATATACATTGTCTCTAATTGAAGCTGCCACTGTAAATTTAAATCCATTGTTCCACAGTCTATGCTTCTCCCTAAATCTTTTGCCCATGAGATCATAGAGGTTTTAACACGAATGCGACTCTTCATACAAATGATTTTTATAAAGGTGAGGGAAGAAATGTATGCAAGGGGGCCTTGTTCTCTCAGTTGGAGGGCTACATCCACCATAAAGTGAGTTCTCAGTGCAAAGTTCAGGTGTTTCAGTCTCCGTCACTATCCCAGCACCTTTGAACAAGACCTCTCAGTGCCCACTTCATTCAGTGAGTTTGTCATTAATAGCATTGCCATTCCGCTGGCCACTGAGTGGGAGGGAGACAGCCAGCAAGAGACAGCAATATTGGGTCTTGGGTATTACATAGAACAATCTGAGGAAGTCCTCAATGACTGAATAGGTGGATAATAACATGGCACATGTTATAACGGCTGCGAAGGCAGATGAAGGGTTAAACAGATAAGCTACCAATCGTTATGTCCATGCCCTTGGATCAAAACCTCTTCCTGTGATGATCATCATGTGTTGCTTTCAGTGGAGCCCCCGCTAGCGCAATGAGTTCATCCCTTTGTGCTGGGAGGACTGATGACCAACAGATCATCGGTTTGAATTTGGGGAGAGTGGGTTGAGCTCCCTCTGTCAGCTCCAGCTCTCCATGTGGGGACATGAGAGAAGCCTCCCACAAAGATGGTAAAACATGAAACATCGGCGTCCCCTGGGCAATGTCCTTGCAGACGGCCAATTCTCTCACACCAGAAACTACTTGCAGTTTCTCAAGTCACTCCTGACATGAAAAAAATGCATTGATCCCCACACACAAAACAAATTCATACACGCCTTCCAAGCAAATCAAGACCAATAAAAATCCCATTGTGATTGCTGAGTGATGGCAGAGGCAGGAGTGTGAAATCCAGAAGTCCTCAGCTAAAGACTAGTCCATGGCCGATGGATATGAAATCAGTTGTTTTGACATATCACCAGGACTATCTTTGGAAGACTATTATACTCTGCTAGATATGGTTACTGATTATGATTATGATTGCCATATTTATGATCATGTGGAGTTTTTCCTGCCAGACTCAGGTGGCTTACAAATTGAGCATTGTAAAATCATATAAAACATCAAGCTTAAAATGGAATTTAACAACTGTACAATGGTCTCATCACAGAGATTGAATTTTTTAAATAAAAACAGTGTGAAAACTGCAGTGTGTTGTTGAAATTGATTCCTTTAAAAATCAGTTTCAAAAATGCTGCCAGAATAAATAATAAAAACCTTTGCCTGCTGATTGAAAGATGGGAAGCAAGGGGAATCCCAGAGTCCTTTCGAAGAGAGTTGTGGAGTTTGGGGGCAGCCATGGAGAAGGCCCTGTCTTTTCTCTCCACCAGATGTACCTGAGAAAGTGATGAGACCATTGTTCGGCTATTGTACGTACTTGGCAGTGCTGGCTTTTTCTCTTATTATTATTACCATTTGCTTGGTGGTTAGAGAGTGAATGTGCAAGCACACAGGAGTGCACAAAATTACAATTCCTCTTTTTCATTGCCACTGAGTGGGTGCAAGAAGTGGATAAATAGGTTTCAAAAAGCATAGGAATAAGTCCATTGTCATTGGTTGCCTGCTGGAGTGAGGAGCCTTGGCAGATGCTCGACTATGCTTAAAATTGATCACCCTTAAAAAAAAACCCCAGTAATTCTTATAGTGTCTATCTCGGAAATACTTAGAGCTGTAATTACATGTCCAGGATAAAATATGACGGGTATTACAGACTTCACAATACTTCTCTGAATAGATGTAATTACTACAATTCATTTCTTCCAAGCATAAGCTGGAGACTTTCTGGTTAAAGTTACAATTCTTTAAAAAGCTATAGCATATATTAATATTATTTATCTAGATATGTCAGTTAACAGTACACTGTTGAGAAGATTGCATTTACATAAAGGTTATGGAATATATAGCATGTATAGTGCAATCCCATATATGGGTTTGGTGGAGATTATTCCCCCATAAATGTGCATAAGATGAGGGACCTGGATTGCTTGGGAGTTGAGGTAAGTGATGTACTTAACTTGGGGTATAAAACAAGAAACAGAAGTATTTAATTTTAGATGTGATTTTTATGTGTGTGTGTGTTAGGAACGACTTGAGAAACTGCAAGTCACTTCTGGTGTGTGAGAATTGGCTGTCTGTAAGGATGTTGCCCAGGGGACGTCCAGATGTTCGAAAGTTTTACCATACTGTAGGAGGTTTCTCTCATGTCCTCACATGGGGAGCTGGAGCTGACAGAGAGAGTTCAACCCAGATTCGAACCGCCAACCTGTTGGTCAGCAGTTCTGCGAGCACAAGGGTTTATCGGGGGCTCCTTCTAGATATGATGTTAAGCTGCAGCTCCCACTAGCCCTTGCCAACCCCTTATGCTGGCTAGTTATGATGGGAGTTGCAGTCAATCATTTCTAGAGAGTCCCATGAGTTATTGGTAGATTGGTTTGCGAAGATGAGAGATACAGTTCTTAAGAGCTGATTAACAGCTGACATTATGGATCAGGAGTTAGGATGGTGCAATGAGTTGGGTATTGGAATAGGAGCATCTTAAATGAGATGCTCCTCATAGGGCATGGTCTCCAGACCTTTGATCATTTTAGTTGCCCTCCTCAGGACACCTTCCAGCTTGTCTTATATCTCCAGATGACTGTGTTCCAATCTCTACTCAGCCATGGGAACCCAGTAGTTGACCTCTGAGCCTAGAAGGAAGGCAATGATAAACACCCTTAAAGTAAATCTTCACAAAATTCTTCACTCTGAAGGCATATATGTAACAACAAAGAACCAGCATGGTGTAGTGGTTTGAGGATAGGGTTTCCTTGGAAAGATTTGTTCAGAGAGGTTTTACTAGTGTCTTCTTCTGAGACTGAGAGAGAGTGAATCACCCAAGGTCACCCACTGGGTTTTCATGGCTGAGTGGAGATTCAAACCAGGGTTTCCAATAATATTTGTCCAACACTCAAACCACCATACCACATTGGATCTCCTTCTGTCTGATGCATTCCCACATTTTCATTTCTTCAAGGACACCTTGTCAGCAATTAGGTTTTTTTCCCCTAAAGAGAAGAACATGACTAATGTTGTAGTGGAGTTAGGACTCATAGCATCAAAGCTCTGGTACTTTTCTATAGCAGGAACAATAGCTTCATTCCCAACATCCCAGTTCCTTCTCAGCATAGTCAGTATGTTTCCCCATTAGAATAATAAAGTTGGAAGAGACCACATGGGCCATTCAATCCAACACCCTGCCACATAGGAAAAGCACAATCAAAGTACCCCTGACAGGTGGACATTCAGCCTCTGCTCAAAAGCTTCCAAGGAAGGAGCTTCCATCA